TGTATTTTTATGTATGAGAGAGTAATAAAACAATAAATTATGTATGCAAATCCCTAAACTGTTGATACGGGTGACTCAATGAAAAACAGATATTTGTCAACAAGTTTACAGAAGTATATAGGAAAACAGTTTTAAATTAAGTATGACCACCAGGTATAAAGGTTGGAGCAGAATAGAATGCAATAGTTGTGAGGGTTACTAATCCCTAAATAAGGTTGCCAGTGTCGGAGTGATGGAGGTTAACAGGTACCAATGAATTTGCAAAAAATGTAAGATGTTTATTTTATTGGTTATATATAACCAATAAAAGTTTAATAAGTACCTACCTATTTGCAAAATAAAGTTTAATTCTTTAGATAAAATAAAACGTTTTATTTTATCTGAAATGAGTGCATTCCACGAAGTAAGGGTTTTAACAATCAAACATTTAATTCTTTAATTCCAGGAATCTACGACAGTAATTCTAAACTTATTCCACAGAAAATGTGATAGTAGGTTTTTCCATTTTGTAGGAAGGTCCAAGTGGCGTATTCAAAATTCTTAACAGTTCACTAAAAGTAGGTACTTCAGTTGCAAGGTGCAGTTTATTGTGTATACTAGTGTTATGGATGTGAAAGTTACGGACTGTAAATGAATCTCAAGAAAACGAAATCAATGATATTCTCAAAAAAACCACAAAATGTAAATAACCTGATCATCAATAATACAACGATAGAAAGAGTAAAAACATATAAATATTTAGGAACGTGGCTAACCGAAGATGGAGATCAAGTAAAGGAGATCAGATCTAGAATAGAAATGGCAAGAAACACGTTCATAAAATTGAAGAAACTACTTTCCAACCGTAACCTTAATCTAGAGATTCGCACAAGAATGCTACGTTGTTACGTCTTCTCTACTTTACTATATGGCATGGAAGCGTGGACAATAAAGCAGTCTGAAATCAAAAAATTAAACTCCTTTGAGATGTGGTGCTACAGGAGAATGCATAAAATATCGTGGATTGAAAAAGTAACTAATATAGAGGTGTTACAAAGAATGAAGAAAGAATGTGAAGTCATAAAAACTGTTAAAATTAGAATGATTCAATATCTGGGACATTTAATGAGGGGTGAGAAGTACGTATTACTGAGGTTGATTATGTAAGAGAAGATACAAGGGAAGAGAAACCCAGGACGACGCAAAATGTCCTGGCTAAGAAATTTGAGAGAGTGGTTCGGCTGCAGCTCATTAGAATTATTCAGAAATGCGGCCAACAAAGTTAAAATAGCGATGATGATTTCCAACCTCCGCTAGGAGAAGGAACCCGAACAAGAAGTGTTATGGAAAATTTGGAAGTGCCGTGTAAACGCCGAAAAATTATTCCTTTAACAGTTAATGAAAAAACATTAATATTTAATTGTTTTAAATCATTTACAGACAAACGTTTATGTGAAAGTGTTGATGAGACCGTTGAGTTAGTTAGCAATACACTTGGTGTTGGGAAATTTACGATTTACAGAGTTATTAAAGAAGAGAAATGTGGTAGTTTTCAAATGCCACATAATGCTCCAGGGAAACCGAAATTTCAAATAGAATATCATTTTAAAGAAGTACTTCGACGGAAAGTGCATGAATTCTTCTTTAGACAAGAATTTCCAACATTGGATAAAGTTCTTGTCTCAGTTCAAGATGATAAGGATTACCCAGAAATGAGTCGAAGTACGTTATGGAAACTTTTAAAAGAAATAGGCTTCCGCTGGAAAAAGAATCCCAGAAAGTCTATTTTATTAGAAAGAAGCGATATTGTCTAATGGAGAAGACATTTTCTAAGAACCATAAAGGAAATGAGAAACCAAAAAAGAAAAATATTTTATCTTGATGAAACATGGATCAACGAGGGTCATACACCAAATAAATTTTGGCAGGATGAAACTGTTACAAGTCAAAGGCACGCTTTTATAAATAACTTATCTACTGGTTTAAACCCATTATCAGGAAAGGGACGCAGGCTAATAATAGTACACATTGGCAGTTTAGACGATTTTGTTGAAGGTGGTTTATTAACTTTTGAATCAACTCGTACCGGTGACTACCATGAAGACATGAACGCTGATGTCTTTCAAGAATGGTTCGAACAAATGATAGATCTTCTTCCTAAGAACTGTGTAATAGTAATGGATAATGCAAGTTATCACTCCAGACTTATAGAAGGACTGCCCACAACCAAGTGGTTAAAAAAAGACTTGCAGAATTGGCTGAGTTTAAAAAATATTACGTACCATCCCGGATCTATAAGAAAGGAACTTTATTCGTTGTGTGCCCTTCATAAAGAAAAATTTAAAAAATACGAAATTAATAATTAATTGCCAAAAATCGTGGAATGACAGTACTTAGATCCCCACCATATCATTGTGAATTAAACCCGATTGAACTGGTATGGGCACAGATAAAGAGTGAAGTTTCAAGAAAAAATACCACTTTTAAAATTCATGATGTAAAACAGTTGTTTTTGGAGGCCGTAAATAATGTAAAACCTGAAAACTGGGAAAAGGCAGTAAATCACACTATTAAAGAAGAGGAAAAAATGTGGAAGCTGGACAATATTACTGATAAAATGATCGAGCCAGTTATTATAAATCTTGGTTCTGAAAGTTCATCTTCTGAATCTGATTTGGATTTGTAACAAGTAGCTGTAAGTTTTATATTAATATTTTTATTCATCTATTTAACATACCTTAGACGGTTTTAAAAACTCTTTTTCTCTTTTGTAGTTTTTAAAAATGAATAAAATGTGAATTTTTTAAAACCATTTTTAATGTAGGCCAGTCAGTTCTAATATAGTGTGTGATAAAAGAGGTCACTTTTGTTTACATACACATAACACTTTATAACACTGAAATAATTCATTTATTTTTTACAATTATTCAAAGTAATTTTTCAATTAATCTTGAGCACGCCCATGGAGTGGTCGAAGGTACCAGTTAAAATTATGCTAATTACTCTCTCGTTCATAAAAATAAACTATAGTCGTTGAACATCCAGTACCACTTTGTTGATTTTCTTCACAATTTCTGGATATCACCTCATTTGACAGGCCACTACGATGCTTTAGTAAGCAGCTTATACAGCTTCGTTTAAACTCTGATACTTGTAAACGGAGGAGCATACTCAACCAGAGTAGCTGGTTCAGCTATTACATTGGTTAAACAAAATAGAATAGACAAAATGGCCCGAGATAAGTTAATAATTGAAAGAAAAAGCATAAGTCAATCTAGAAAGCCATGACAAAACTTCAGTACTATACGAGGCAATGTTAAAAAAAGAGGCGATAAGTCTAGATAAAAGTAGAAGGTGAAGAAAATTATTTTAGACTACGTTTTATCATACAAAGATTTAAATCCTTACCACTTTTGGCTACGAAACATACCTGCGAATTGGTACGTGGAATGTACAAGGCATCACAAATAAAATGAGAAGCTGATTTTACTAATAGAAATTTTTATTACCGGAACCAAAAATAACTTGACTATTAAAAACTAGAATATATAAACACATTATTATTTACCAAAAAATGATAAAATGAGAACCAGATCCAATAAAACATAAATAAACAATTAAACACTACAACATTTAGACACATAAACACCTGTAATAGATACAGGTATTAATATTTACCAAATAAAATGAGAACCTGATTATATTAATAGAAATTGAAATGATAAAATAAGAGCAAGATCCAGTTTAAAAGATGATTTACTTTTAAATTCCATTTCGCCATTTGCTTCCACAACAGTGACATCTGCCCGTTATCTATGCTTTTTTCAAATCTATTAAGATTATATGAGTTTCTCTATTTGCCTGCACTCTTTTTTTACCGTCATTTTTAATGTAAACAAATTATCTATGGTGGATCATCCAACTCCGAACTTTACTTGTACATAGTTTATGTAGCTCTTCATGTTTGTGCCTTTAAAATATGCATAAATTGTTTGTAAATAATGTTTGTTAGATCTATTTTTGGACTTTAATTATATACTTAGAAAGCTCTGAAGGGAGCACCATGCATTTTCTGTAGAATAAATGCTGAAAACCTTGATGAAGGCTGAAACCTCAATACATACAGCTGTATAGAGGTTCTTACAATAATCACAAATTGCTATGCTTTAAGCAACTCCAGAGTACGGTATCTGGGAGCACAAGCGATAAGATTTATATACCTTATTTTCTTAGCAAATTATAAGATAAGACATGATAAGAATTTACCTATGATGAAGCTTCCAAATATACTAAATATTCTGGGAGTAATATTATTATTGAACTAATACGTAGAATAGGGTTGACATGGGCAGCTTATGGAAAGCTAAGAGATGTTTTCCAATCAGCTCTTCCTATCTGCTTGAAGAGAAAAGTCTTCGATCAATGTATGCTGCCGGTTCTAACCTATGGTGCGGAGACGCTAACACTTACTAAGACGCCCGCAAACAAAATTCGAACAACACAGAGGGCAATGGAACGGCCTATGTTGGGATTAACCCTGAGAGACCGAATACCCAACACAGAATTGAAACCGACGCAATCAAAAGAATAACAACCTTAAAATGGAACTGGGCAGGGCACGTCGCGAGAACGAAGGACGGCAGATGGACAAAACGCATTCTTGAGTGGAGACCCAGACAAGATGCCTTTAGGAATAGAGGACGACCACCAACAAGATGGACGGATGACCTGAAACGGACACATCAAAATTGGATGCAGGCGGCTCAGGACAGAAAGTTGTGGGGTGAACTACGGGAGGCCTATGTTTAGCAGTGGACGAGTATGGGCTGAATGATGATGATAATGAATATTACTATATACTAAAAGTACTAGCAGTAGCTTAACGGTAATGGTATTAAAAAGGATAACCAATAGCCCACATTTAACCATCATAAAATTTGCCTCATTTACTTGTTATTTTATTAATACTCGTATTTAATGATGATGGTAAGAAAATGATAATTAGAATGAAGTTAACTTACTCTGGTTCCTGAAATCCTGCAGGTAACACATTCCTCTTGGTTAGCGTGTGATTTTTCAAGGAATAGATGGAGCACTTTACATGAAGAGTATCCTTAGTAGTTTGTCCATCACTCTCCACATTTTCAATGACAAGAGTTTGATAGTAAATTTGTTTTCCCTGAAAAGAGGTATTTATTTAATACTAAATTATTGTTCTGAAGCTATTTCTTGGCATTATAAATTAATTACTATTTAACTGGGAATAAGCCACAATATTAAAGATAAAAATACGTTTATTGACGTTCAATTCACTCGAAATTATATTAGATAATTTTATAACTATAAAATAAAAATTGTAACAAAATATTTAAATAGTACCGTTAAGTATTTCGAATTTAAAATTAATCTCGGTACAAAAAAAATGGTTGCATACTTAAACACTTACAGTGCCGCCATGCAAACCGAATTTGCGCTTCCCAGCAGCCATTTTTTTACAATTAGATAAACTTTGATAATATCTAATTAATATAAAAAATGCAGTCGAAAGTGAAGGGTAGTGTTAACTCGCAACGGTCATAAGCACTAGTAACAGTTAAGCGGGAAACGGTGAATAAATGCCTCCTGCCACTAATCTTGTAGCTTTCTAGTTCTAAGTAGTAGCTTAGTTTTCCAATTTAGCTCTAAAATAGTCTATTATGCGGAACGGGTTTGTCAGTAGTTGTATTGTGATTTTGTAGATGTAAAATCGCCAATAATCTACAGGAATAAAACTCTTTCGGAACACACACACACACACACACACACACACACACACACACACACATAGATATATATATATATATATATATATATATATATATATATATATTTTTTTTTTAGTGGATTCTCTTGGGCTTAGGTTCATAAGCTTAGGTTCATCACATATTTTTTTTACTTTTAGTGACTTAGTGGGTATGTCCTATGTTTTAATATTATTTTAATTGTGACGTCTAATTGTTAACACCAAATCTTTACATGCTTGTCAATATATATTCTTGAAAAAAGCATGGATTTCCTGCCGAAACGTCGGAAAATATATATATAAAAATGTCTTAGTATCAAACTAAATTTTTTTTTATGAACCTAAGCCCAAGAGAATCCACTAAAAAATATATATTAAGGTTCAAGAACTAAACTCAAACTATATGTATATATATATATATATATATATATATCCCTGCTTCGCATTTTCAATTTGTCTAATGCTACGCTAATGATACTCGCCGATGCACCTTGTGTATTGCATATTTTATATAAATATAGTATATCAGCAGAAGCAAGCACTTATTCGAATCATATGGTTAATTTTTTTTAAATCTATCTAAAGCCAATATTAAAAATAATTTCGATTTTATACGTAATCTTCAAGGCTGCAATTTTCAAATTGGCTCATCATTTTCTGCTAAGTTGACTACCACTTTCCATTTCAAGTCAATTTTCATACCGTGATATAATTTGTGTTTAAAACATAAAAGATTACTGACTTGGTACGAGGACTGCTCTATAAATTCTTATTGAATATGAAATTATAAAATATTTATTTTTCGTCTTCTTAGTGTTTTGTATTCATTGGACGTTGGTAAATAAAATAGTCTATTTTATTTTATGTACCGTTGATTTTAACAACTTTATGGATAATTTATTAAATAATTTGATTACTAAGTAAGGAATTTGATGCAATCATCTACCTGTTAGGTCTCAAATATATTCAATGGATACAAGATCAGGGACTACATGTTCAAGAAAGAATAATAATTAAGTGTGACGAAAGAATCTGGTAGTAACTATTGCAATGTGAGGTTTGGCATTTTCCTATTTTAGAATTGCCAAAGATATGGTATAGCAACTGCGTTTAAAATATTGTGGATATAGTACTTAGTATTCATGAGTTTCTCAAGGAATACTAATGGAGAACAGCTTTTATATGGATCTGTACTTCACACCACAAGTCCTCGTTAAAATCCACTAAAAATCACTTAGATTCTAAACAATATTGACATCATTTTCTTACCTTATTCAGACTGACTTATTCAAAAAACTTTTTTAAACAAAAAGAAAAGTTTTATTTCTTTACTCCAAACGAAGTAAAGAAATAAAACACAATGACGGTATTAGATTTTGATTGAATACAGAGCAGTCATTGTGTTTTATTTCTTTACTTCGTTTGGAGTATCAGAAATCGAATTCACTACGAATATTGGCCATGATGAACGGCATTTGGAGTGCAATTTTAGATTCCCTTGCCGATTTATTCTTCAAGCTGTTTGCTTCCCAAGTTTTAGGAAGCACGGTGGCTCATATTTGAATTCGATTTCACCAGGTAGAAATCGTATGATTTCTCTTTTTGTTCTTAGATGGCGTAGTTACGTCCGTACATAGTTATTTTTAATAACTATAGTGTGGAAAATATTTTGGTTCGATACGGAGTAGTGGCTATACCGTACTGAGGAGACCTAAAGAGGTCGAAATACGTCTATGCGGCTTGTTGCTGCTCTGTATTGAATCAAAATCTAATACCGTCATTGTGTTTTAACTTTTTTAAACTTTACTTTTTACTTACTTAATCAGTAGACCCATTGATACCTTTCGGTGTTGGACCCTCTTCTTTGAAATGATATTAAAAGTGTCTTTCGACAATACCACTCTATCATCCGCCATGTCTTGAGGTCAACGGCAAAATGCGACTCGTTCGATACGACTACAAACTGAAAATGTGATCCTATGATAAATTGATCGTAGATGTACTTGTTCTGTAGCAGTCAGTTATTCATGTAATATTGACGTAAAGTTATAAAAATCGATCTTTAAGCATATTTACTTTTAAGAGACTTTCATTGCGAGCTTTTATTTTTCTTTATTTTTACATCTTCTTCTTCATGTACCATGTTCTTTCAGAACGTTGCGCGTGGTTACCATCATAGCTATCTTAATTTTATTCAATGCCACCCTAAATAGCATGCTTGTATCAATACCATACAATCTCGCAAGTTGTTCAATCATGAGGTTCTTCTTCGTCCTGGACTGCGTTTGCCTACTATTGTTCTTTGCATGATATTTTGTAGCAACCTATATTTGGGGTCTCTCATTACATGTCCGAAATACTCCAGCTTTCTCCGCTTGATGGTTTTTATGATATCAGTAGTCTTGCTGAGACGTTCTAGTATTGTGGAGTTTCGAATATTCTCCACCCAGGAAACTTTTAAAATTCTTCTATAGCACCACATTTCGAAAGTCTCAAGGCGGTTTAGATCGATGTTATTTACAGTCCAGGACTCGACACCATAAAGCAAGACCGAGAACACGTAGCAGCGAAATAGGCGGATCCTCAATGCCAATTTAGGTCTTTGTTACATAACACCTTGGTCATCCTTCTACGTCCAAGGTAAACGATTTTATCAACTTGCTCAAGTTTAGTATTATTTACATATATAGACGGTTTATATGCTGTTGTTTACTTATTACGAGTATTTTGGTTTTCCGTATGTTCAGATCCAGACCTGCCTCCTACAACTCTCAACGACACTATCAAGTAGTGTTTGCAGATCTTCTTGACTAGAAGCTAGGAGTACTGTATCGTCCGCATATCGCAAATGATTGATGACTTCGCCGTTCACAAGTATTCCTTCTTGTTTTTCAGAAAGTTCTTTTCTGAAAATTCTTTCGGAGTAAACGTTGAAAAGCAGGGTTGACAAGAGGCATCTCTGCCGTACTCCTCATTTAATATTGAGAGTCTGTCTCATTTAATCATCTGCTAAAACTGATGTTGTTTCATTCCAATATAAATTTGCAATTATTTGAACATCTCTGCCGTCCAAGCCAATGTCTTTTATAGCTTCGATCAATACAGAGTGCTTAACACGATCAAATGCCTTTTGAAAGTCAATAAAACAACAGTATATGTCTACAGATATATCTCGACATCTTTGAGCAAGTACGTTCATTCCAAACAGTGCCATATTTTCATTCATATTTTTAGATACGGGAGAAAATTCTAGATTAAAAGAAAATGTTCTCTATACCGGCATGAGTTCGCCTCCACTCATACAGGATAGAGGAGATGGTAAGTTTCCCGACACGGTAAGTGCTAAAGGCTATAGTAAGAAACGTCCTATGGGTATATAGAACTATAGGACAGTGGTGACCAGTTCATATCACCTCCACGTAAGATGACCATGCCCTCAAATAGCTCGTGGAAAATGTCCAATGTGGCACGAGCAGTTGTCATATAGCTCCGTCCTATTGAAACCATATAAATTCTACATAAAATGTTGGACAGAGATCCTCTGGGATACTATATGATAGACACCTCTGAAGATGTTGGAATAGGTTTTTATATGCAACGAAATTGTCTAAAAAAAGAAGAAGCCAAAGGAGAGAAGTCAAATGACAAAATTAGTGCCAAAATAAAGTGTTTACTATGAATCTACAAGCTGTACTTCTCTGTCCGAAGTCCAAAGTCTCGGCTTTATATTAAAAAACCAAATTAGCCGTCCACAATTTTACTCTTTATGGTATTGGGACCGGTAAAGAATACTGCTTTGTGTGGAGCGAAGTTGAAGGGGGTGTTGGGGGAAATGAATTTGCAACTATTTTGCCATTTTGCAGCTACTCAATTGTCGTACATTCAGCCTGGAGAGAAGTTGATTTTTTACAGTAACGGGTGCACCGGATAAAGTCGTAATGCAATATTGGCGAGTGCTTTGTTGAAGTTCTCTGTATGTAACAAAGTGCCTGTAGTTAAAAAAAAACTCGAACGTGAGCACACACAAATGGAAGCTGATGCTACGCACGCATGCATAGAAAGACAGTTAAAAACAAAATTATAAATGTGTCTGCGCAATACATAGAAGCTTTCCAAAATGATCGAAAAAAACCAGAGCCTTACGAAACAAAATACTTAATCCATATATTTTTTCGAAATTTTAGCAGTCAATACTTATCAACAATTAGGCCTGGAAAAAAGGCAGGCGATACTACTATAACAAATTTGCGTGCACTACAATACAATGCAAATGAAACCATTTAAACTCAGACATTCCGAGCATTGGCAGGTTCTTCCAGTCAGTGGAAAGAAAAAAGTAGTTTTAGGAGTACCACTTGAAGAAATACCACTGCTTAATCTGGAACCGTTGAAAATTA